CCCTATGACGTACCCCCCAAAAGGAACTACTATGGGGCCTATGGGTATACCCTTTGTTTCGACGAGAAAGGTTGAGGACTTAGGGTTTAGGGGTTTAGGGTTTAGGGGTTTAGGGGTTTAGGGGTTTAGGACTTAGGGAACCGTCCTTCTTGTACCCCAGCCTGATTTTCCAAAGCCCTCCAAGGGCCCGACAGATGGAGACCCTACTTCGAAGATGTAGCAAGCCCCTCTCCCCAAAAGGGCTAATCTATGGAGATCTTGATATTAGTTCATGGGGCGTCTTGGTATAAATCCATAGGGACCTTGCGACTCTTTCATAGGGGTCTTCATATAAATCCGTAGGGATCTTGATGCAACAGCCCGTAAATAGGGTGCTCACAAATGAGGTGGTGGAATTTCGAACGTTGCAGCAGTTGTAACCGACACGTACTTGCATCAGCAGGTCCGTAGGAAACGCATCAAAGCTCTAAGCCCGGCAATCCTAGAAGCTAATTAATGTAGAAGCCTAAATAATTCACCAATATTATTGTTAGGGTTCCTTATCATACATATATTATACTGGGCCCCCAAACCCCATTAAGTCCTCAACTCCACATGTAGTCGTGTCCACCTGAAGCCCTTTCTACCGGTCTCCTAGGAGCTGCAGTCCTCGCAAAGAGGTTGTGTGCAGGGTTATGACTGTCTTACTTCGCATTGCATTGGGTAAAAGGGCTCTTTAGGGGCTTGTGGTATCCTTTTAGCAACCCTAAATCCTCAACCCTAAACCCTAAGCGCCTCATTAATCCCTAAACCCTAAACCCTAAGGCCTTGTTGGAGCTGAGGTCTTAGAGAAAGCTCGCCGCGTGCTGAAGTGCGCGCAGACGGATGAGTCCGTCAAGGAACTTTTCGCTAGTTGACGGCTTACGGGTGGGGGTCCTAAACCCTTAAACCCTAAACCCTAAACCCTAAATCTAAACCTTAAGCCCTAAACCGTAACCCTAAGCCCTAAACCCTTAGACCCTCGAATCCTTAACACATTATATAAGCCCTCAACTCTAAATCTTTTGGGTCCTCAGGTTTCCAGTTCCGAAGATAATGAACCGCTCATGAAGCTTGCCTTTAAGAGTTCGATGAGTTCAGCATTTAGGGTTTAGGGGGTTTGGGGTTTCGGGTTTTGGGGGTAGGGTCTTCACAGTTAGAGCAGTGTAGTGTCTTGGGCATTAGGTTTAGGGATTAGGGCAGGGACAGTCGGAAGAGCTCGTGTTCGGCCCGAACCCTTATGTCTTTCTCGAAGTAGGGTTTCGGGCTTAGGATCTTCTATGTCACTGTAAGGTGACGATGTAGACACCGAGGGTTTTAGGATATCTAGGTCCCTACGCCCAGGCTCAACCTCATTCACCCAAGAAAATCAACAGCACCGGCGTAAACTCTCCAAGACAGGCCAAGATCAAGGCCGGAATGACTACCAACATTACCCCTTTGATTAAGTGCCTTATTCAGCTTAAATCTTACCATAGCCCAAGAGCCTGTTCTAACTGTTGAGACCCTGGAAGGCCCTGGAAGCATGCATGTTATGTAATGTACGTTTGCAAGGACACTGAAGTCTTAAGCCCTCAACCCCAAACCCTAAACTCTAATACAGGGGCCTAAATAAGTACCAATACCATTTTTGGGGTTTCCTTTTTATAGTAGAACATACCCCAAAACGCTGTTCGAATTATTAAATTAGGGTCCTGAAGGCCCCTATAATAAACTGCTTGCATTGGAGGAGCAAGACTTCCTACGCGCGTGCGAGCTTCTGCAGGAGATCAGACGTAGGGTCAGTTCGAAGGAAGGTAGGTTCTTCGGGGCCCGGGCAGGGTTTCGAAATTAGGTTACCTTGTGGTTTCAGCATCTGGGGTTGTTGGGTTTGGGATCACAGGATTTTGGGGATTCGGGCAGTAAGCAGGGCTCGGGTGGAGGGCCTAAACAATTCAGTCTACCATTATTCCTGAGGGTTAATTCTGCTCTAAAGCATCCCGAAAACGATCCCTAAACCCTAAACCTTAAACCTTAAACCCTACTTAGAGGCCCAGGGGACTTAGTAAGTGGGTTATAAGTAGAGTTATAAGTACCCTAAATGGAGTTACCCCAATTATAACCCTACTTAAAACCGACTTACTAAGTCNNGGGCCTCCAAGTAGACCCTAAACCCATTTTCAAGGCCCCAAACCCTAAACCCTAAACCTGAAACCCTAAACCCCAAACCTTGAACCCTAAACCCTAAACCTTAAACCCTAAACCCTAAACCCTAAACCCTAAACCCTAAACCCTAAACCCGTAAGGCTCAGGTTGCTGCGACCCGGGGGTTTCCGGGCAGACTTTGGAGCTTGAGGCCCCTAGCCCTACCTCGCGGTTAGGGTTTAGGGTTTAGGGTTTAGGGTTTAGGGTTTAGGGTTTAGGGTTTAGGGTCTACTTGGAGGCCTAGGGGACTTAGTAAGTCGGTTTCAGGGTTTGGGGGTTGAGGGTTTAGGGGTTTAGGGTTTGGGGTGTGGGGTTTAGGGGTTTAGGGTTTGGGGTGTGGGGTTTAGGGGTTTAGGGGTTTAGGGCTTTACGGTTTGGGGTTGTATAGTCCCTTCTTGAAGGCCCAGGGGACTTAGCAAGTCGGTTATT